TCCTAGATATTTTTAAGAAACTACATATCAACATTCCATTTGCAGATGCTTTGGAGCAAATGCCTAACTATGTTAAGTTTATGAAGGAGATCCTCTCGAACAAGAGAAAGCTAGAGGAATATGAGATAGTTGCACTTACTGAGGAGTGCAGTGCCATTTTGCAAAATAAATTGCCTCGAAGCTTAAGCATCCTGGAAATTTCACCATTCCTTACACTATTGGGAACTCTTATTTTGAAAAAGCTCTTTGTGATTTTGGAGTAAGTATTAATTCGATGCCTCTTTTGGTATACAAGATGTTGGGTCTTGGAGAAACAAAGGCAATAACAGTCTCTTTACAGTTGGTTGATCGATCTATTAAATATCTACGTAAAAAGTGATGTATTTTGTTTTCAATAATTCTATAAAATTACATGTACACAGTTTGGTGCTGAAGTTAAGATTCTGAGAACTGACAATGGTACAAAATATATGAATAATGGGTTTCGTGCCTACTTGGAGTCAAATGGGATAATTAATCAGATAAGTTGTGCCTACATCAGTAAACAAAATGGAGTTGCTGAAAGGAAACACAGACACATACTGGAGGTAGCTTGGTCATTAATGTTCACAATGAATCTACTGAAAAGTTACTAAGCAGATGCAGTTCTCTCAATTGTCTGTCTTATCAATAGAATATCTTTGCAAGTCCTGGATTTTAAAAGCTTTAAGGAGGTTTTACAAGGAAAAAGTTCTTACATTATTCCCCCCAAAAGTATTTGAATGCGTGTACTTTGTTTATGTTAGAAATGTAAATAAGGTAGAACCTAGAGCTCTCAAGTGTGTATTTGTTGGATATTGTTTTACCCAAAAAGGTTACAAGTATTGTCATCCACTGTGTAAAAAATACTTTGTAACTATGAATGTTATCCTTAAGGAAACCGAGTCTTACTTCAACTCAAACTCAACACTTCTTCAGGAGGAGAGTGAGAAGAAAAAAGTGATACTTAATTGGGTAACTATTGAGGGTCATATTCGGGGTGAGAGTTCTATTGCAGAAGGTCTTAGTCAAGAAGATAATGTTGGACATCTGGATAAATCAGACTTGAAAATGTATTAAATGAGATATAAGTCAGAAAAAGTCATCATGCAATCTGTTCCAGGTGAAGAATCTTCTTTGCTTTCAGAAAATACTGGTAAGTTATTTTTCTCTTGTGATTTATCATAAAAATCTATTGTTATTAGAAAGGGAACGAGAGCTTGTACTAAGTATCCTATATCTCATTTTGTTTCCTATGACTCTCTATCTCTCTTTTATAGAGTTTTTGTCTTGTTATTTTCTCTATATCTATTCCATATGATTGAAGAAAGACTCTAGGAGATCCCAAGTGGAAGGAAGGCATGATTAAAAAAAATGAGAGCATTGACAAAAAATGAAACTTGGGAACTTGTTTCACCTCCACAGAAAAAGAAGATAGTTGGTTGCAAATGGGTATTCACCGTAAAACACTAAACAGACGGATCGATCGAAAGGTACAGAAGTCAATTGGTAGTTAAAGGATTTACTCATACCTATGGAATTGACTATCAGGAGACCTTTGTACCTGTTGCGAATATGAACACAATTAGAATACATTTGTCTTGCACAGCTAACCTTAATTGGGATCTATAACAGTTTGATATAAAAAAAATATTTTTTCATAGAGACTTAGAGAAAAAAGTATACATGCAAAGTCCACCTGCATATGAAGATAAGAGGACGCAAGGAAAAATTTACAAATTAAAAAAGGCCTTGTACGGATTAAAGTAGTCTCCAAGAGTATTTTGAATGGTTTAAAAGAGTTATGATCTTTTTTGGATATCAATAAAATAATGCTGATCATACCCTGTTTATCAAATATCGTGAGGGTAAGGTCACTTTTCTCATTGTTTATATAGATGATATTGTGGTAACTG